CTAGTTTACATTGTGATTTCTTTTCTGTCTCATGGTTCATCCAGTATTACATTACTTAATTTCCAAACATTTGGAGATTTTAAAAGTTACCCTCTGTTACTAATTTCTGGTTTAATTCCTCTGTGGTCAAAGAACATACTCTGTATGAGTTCCATCCTTTTTAACTTGACACTTGCTTTATGGCCCAGCACATGGTCTATTTCAGTAAATGTTTTATGTTTACTTGAAAAGACTATGCATCATACAGTTGTTGGCTATAGTTTCTACAAATGTAAATTAGCTCAAGTTTGTTAACAATGTGATTCAAGTTTTCTTTTTTTTTTTTTTTGAGACGGAGTCTGGCTCTGTCGCCCAGGCTGGAGTGCAGTGGCCGGATCTCAGCTCACTGCAAGCTCCGCCTCCCGGGTTTACGCCATTCTCCTGCCTCAGCCTCCCGAGTAGCTGGGACTACAGGCGCCGCCACCACGCCTGGCTAGTTTTTTGTATTTTTTAGTAGAGATGGGGTTTCACCGTGTTAGCCAGGATGGTCTCGATCTCCTGACCTCGTGATCCGCCCGTCTCGGCCTCCCAAAGTGCTGGGATTACAGGCTTGAGCCACCGCGCCCAGCCGTGATTCAAGTTTTCTGTCTTTACTTATTTCTATTTCTTTATTCAATCAGTAGCTTGGAGGTATGATTAGAATCTCCAGTTATGCTTCTGAATTTGTCCCTTTCTCCCTTTAGATTTTTGCTTTATGTGTTTTGAAGATATATGAATGGATTCATACAAATGTAGAGATGCTATGACTTCTTTTTCAACTGCCCTTTTATCATTAAAAAGTTTGTCATTATCTTTAGGAATACTTGTTGCCTTAAAGTCTACTCTGATATTAACATAGCCACATCAATTTCTTTTGGCTAGTGTTTGTAAGGTTTATCTGTTTCCAATTTTCCACTTTCCACTTTTTGTTTTTGGAGGCTTGTTGGGATCTCCTTATCAGCTTTATTTTAAAAATAATTCTCCAAGGTTTGGCTGAACTGATCTGGACACTTGCTGAAGGATGAACATTTTAAAATGTCAAACTTTTTGCATAGCAGCCCATAATTACGACGTTTGCACAAGTTTTATTCTGGGGAATGTAGGAGTAAGTAGGGTGCCTTTCCTGTTCTTTTAAAGAAAGGTCCTGCAACTCCAAATATAATCATGGACCACATAAAGATGTTTTGGTCAACAACAGACTATATACGATGGTGGTCCCATAAGACTATAGTACGGTATTTTTACTATACTTTTTCTATACTCACGTATGTTTACACACACAAATACCACTGTGTTACAACTGCCTGCGTATTCAGTACGGTGACATGCTGTACGGGTGTGTAGCCTAGGAGCAACAGGCTGTACCATACAGCCCAGGCGTGTAGTAGGCTGTACCATCTAGGTTTGTGTGAGCACACTCACACGACAACAAAATCCCCCAGGGGTGCATTTCTCAGAATGTGTCCCCGTCATTAGGGGGTGCATGACTGTATTGTCTTCACACGTTCTGGGGGCTTCTGGGTAAAAAGAGTCAAGAGTCCTTTACAAAAAACAAAGATGTTTGATAGTGGAGAACTATTTTCTTGACCCCATATATACCTGGATCTAAAAACTACAGAATCTACAGACTGGCAAAGACTTTGGAGGTCTCATCTCATCCAAATCTCTACTTGATGATAAACTGTCTTTCCCAGAATCTTACCTCTCAGGCTGGCAATGTAATAGTTTCCATCTTTCAACGGGATGCTTGTAAGAAAGCTCATCCTTTTACTGCGTTAAAATCTTTTTCATTATAGCATCCATGCAATATTCCTAGTTCTGTTCTCTGGGGTCCACATGGAAAGTGAGATTTCTCTTCCACATGGCACCCTTCAGAGACTTGAAAACTGCGGTCATGCCCCCTTCAGTTTCTATCTTCTCCAAGTAAATATCTCTTGTTACTCCTTTGATTGTTCCCCATATTATACAGCCTTCAGATCTTTCACCAGTTTGGATGCCCTTCTTCTTGTAGATTCCAGTTTGTTGTACTCAGATGCGGTACCAGCGTTCTGTGGGAAGAATGACCCATGCAGACCAGAGCAGGACAGTAGTCTCCCTTCTTCTGAACCTCTGCCTCCACAAATTCGCTCCACCTCTATTAATTTATTCTACCTCTATCAATTCACTCTACTACGAATTCAGCCTGAGAACTCACTAACATTTTTTGTTTTTGTTTTTTTGAGACACTCTTGCCCTGTCACCCGGGCTGGAATGCAGTGGCGTGATCACAGCTTAAACCTGAAGCCTCAACCTCCTGGACTCAACAGAATCTCCCCACCTGGCCTCCTGAGCAGCTGGGACTACAGGCATGCCCCACCAGGCCCAGATAATTTTTATATATTTTTTTGTAGAGATGGGGTCTCACTATGTTGCCCAGGCTGGTCTTGAACTCCTGGGCTCAAGTGATTCACCTGCCTTGGCCTCCCAAAGTGTTGGGATTACAGACATGAGCCACTGCAACAGCCACATTTTTTGGTGACCAAAACTCATTCTCAACTAAAAATCCTTTAGGTTTTTCACCCTGAATGTGAGATTTAGGTTAGATTATGGCTAATGGTACCACAACTTACTATGTATTTTCCCCACAACTGATTACCTGGTTTTATGGCCACCTATTCAGCAAAATGGTGATAATAATTCTTGTATCATTATCCTTACTGGGAGAATGAAATAATAGACATGAAAAGTGCTCCATTAACCATAAAGAGCATTGAACATGTAAGATATCCCTATTTAGTTATAAAACCAGGAATCTTTGACTTTCTTAACATGTCTGACCACTTTAAGGTGGTAGTCCACACGGGCTAAAACCAAATCTGTGAAAATTGGTCTTTCTACTGAGGTCCCTAAAAATTGTTATGGACCAGATTTCCTGCCATTTTCTCTAATGTCTTGGTTTACCAAGAATCTCTTTTCCATTCCTAGCTAAACATGCCCCATCCCTCAATCCTGTCTGACAGCCTGTCTCCTGAACATGCGATTCCAAGTGGGAGGCTGTGCTCCGAACTTCTCATTCAGACTCCAGGAGGCCTCTAAGAATCAACATAGCCCTCCAAATTTAAACAGGATGCCACTGAAGACTGCTGTCAGTCCCTCCCGGGGTGGGGAAAAGGTCTCTTTCTCAACATGTGGTTTCCTCTGAAGGAGGCTGTGAGGTGCTGAGGTCCCTGAGAACAGGCGGTGTTTGGGTTTTGGGGAGCTCTCCCTTTCCATGCCCTTTCCAGTATACCATGCTGTCTTCCTACTATGCCCTGGAGGGCAACCAAGAGGCAGGAAGGGAATGGAAAACTTGTCATAATAAAAGTAATCACTTAGGGAACATCTACTATGATTCAGGAACCACACCTAATGGACCTTGTGTCAAAGATATGGATGGAGGTATTGCCCTCACAAGCCCCAACCACCAGGTGTTCTGAAAACTTGAGATATTTTTGACACCATAATTGGGTCCAAAGGTTCTGTATATCCTGCAATGTGTGGCACAGTGTGTCACTAAAAGGCAGATCTAGAATTAGTGAATTGGAATTTTAGGAAGGCAGCTTCTATAAGGTATCTAGAAAGACATTTATACCATTATACCATTAAGGCTCATCAACAAGGGAAAGGGATGCCTCTGGAGGTACCAAGATTTCAAGGTTAGAAAGACTACCTTTTTTCTTTTTTTCTTTTTTCTTTTTTATTTGAGACAGAGTCTTGCTCTGTCACCCGGGCTGGAGTGCAGTGGTGCGATCTCGGCTCACTGCAAGCTCCGCGTCCCGGGTTCATGCCATTCTCCTGTCTCAGCCTCCTGAGTAGCTGGGACTACAGGCGTCTGCCACCATGCCTGTCTAATTTTTTTGTATTTTTTAGTAGAGACAGGGTTTCACCGTGTTATCCAGGTTGGTCTCGATCTCCTGACCTTGTGATCCGCCCATCTCGGCCTCTCAAAGTGCTGGGATTACAGGCGTGAGCCACCGTGCCTGGCGACAAAGACTACCTTTTATCAGGGGTCCTGGGGTAGGGATGTCTCTGTTAGCCATGAGCATCTGAAACTTAATACGGCTATTTTGGTTAAAGCAAAAACCCAATCAACAGGCAACATATTAAAACAGAACCCAGAATTTCTACTCTCTCTCTTCTGATTGCTGATTTTTTCCAAGATAGCAGCTAACCTGCCGCTCAACTTAGCTGAAGGCTGCCACAAGACGCTGTTTATGTAGAGTTTTTCACAAATGCTATAATTACCAATCTGTTAACTTCACTGCTATAAATGCCCTTGTCAATCTCTAAGAAGAGAGTCGGAGGGAGAGCACCGAACTAACCAAAGTCACTGTGGTTAAACAGGTTAAACAGCCTGTTTCTCCACGTCCCTATTTTAGGCCATGTCACATCAGGCTCTTTTGCTATTAATTATGTGTGTATGACTATTCACGACACAGGTGGACATGATTGTTCTCTCGTATTTATGTAGGTATTTACCAGGTACACTCACAAACTATCTTATCTGATTGGCCTAGGTTGAACTATCAGGGAGAGAAATGACCCCAGCTTCTCCCAATCATCTTGATACTCTTTCTAAAGTAAGACTTAGAAGGCTGATGAACCCCAAATCTTAATAGCCACCTTACATGTGAGTAAGATGAACACAGTTTTGCAATACTACTTTTTCAAAGCTTTCCCACATCTATTATTTATTTTAATCTGACAATAACACAGTGAAATAGGGAGGGTATGGATTTCTGTCTCCATGTAACATAGGTAAAAAGTGAAATCCAGAAAACAATTTGCTTAAGGTGTCATACCTTGAAGTATGAGGATATGGAGTCATAATCCGAGCCCAGGTCCTCTGATTCCGAATATTGACCTTTTTGTTCTGACCTCTTAATGATACGTGTGTGTAAGGGGTGAGTGGTGAGGAGGTGGTGCGCAGGCTCATGGGTATAATCTGTAATTCCAGCACTGACCTGCTGATCCTGCAGCTTGACTCCAACGACTCTGAAGGTGTTGCTGGCAGTGTTGTGGTAGATGTTGATCCGGCTGAATCCCTGCTGGCCAGGTTTGATTGGTACCCATTTCTTACTGGTGTCATCGTAGACCATCACGGAAGCCCGGGCTTGGCAGATACTCTGTTCACTGCGGAGCAAGAAAAAACTGGTGTCAGCCTCAGCTACAGGGGATGGAAGTTGACTTTGCCCTTTTCTGAAATAGAGGCCATTTGCTACTTGACATAAAGAAACTTTCCAATTGCCCCAACTTCCAACTGTCTATAGAAGAACTGTCTGGTGAGGTGATGAGCTTACATTCTCTAAGGAGCTTGCAGAATGGAGAGAAGGTTCTGTGCCAAAACTTTCAATAGCTTGGAAGACTCACAGCTTTGTTTTCAGGGGAGAAGTTGCTTGAATAAGAAAGGAATTACAATTATAATTTGCCAACTGTTCACAACATTCCATGTACTGTATTATGTAAGAGAATGTGGCCAGGCACAGTAGCTCACGTCTGTAATCCCAACACTTTGGGAGGCTGAGGCGGGCAGATCATTTGAGGTCAGGAGTTCGAGACCAGCCTGACCAACATGGTGAGATGCCCCCCGCCTCATCTCTACTAAAAATACAAAAAGTAGCCGGGCATGGTGGCACATGCCTGTAATCCCAGCTACTCGGGAGGCTGAGGCACAAGAACTGCTTGAACCCAGGAGATGGAGGTTGTGGTGAGCCAAGATTGCGCCACTGCGCTCCAGCCTGGGCGACAGAGCCAGACTCTGTCTCAAAAAACAAACAAAATAAAATAAAATGAAAAAGAGAGAGAAAAAAACGCATTAAAGCACCTAAGCTTCACGACTTAAGAAGCAGCTATTTATTACCCCCACTCTACATTTTTTAGGTGAGAAAAAAGTGGCTCAGAGACTTGCAAAGATGTATACAAGTTTACACAGGTATTCAGTGATTAAACTGGGGATTTCCAACCACTTCTGTCTGATTCCAGAGCATATGACATAAATAATATTCTTTGCCACATCCAACAAAATGCTTCATTTACGGCATCATACTAGGGTAGCATCACATAGGCTACATAGGCAATGAAATATTTAGGTGATCTAAAGAAAAATGTGGCTGGGCGTGGTGGCTCACGTCTGTAATCCCAGCACTCTTGGAGGCCGAGGTGGGTGGATCACGAGGTTAGGAGATCGAGACCATCCTGGCTAACACAGTGAAACCCCGTCTCTACTAAAAATACAAAAAATTAGCCAGGTGTGATGGCGGGCACCTGTAGTCCCAGCTACTCAGGAGGCTGAGGCAGGAGAATGGCGTGAACCCGGAAGGTGGAGCTAGCAGTGAGCCGAGATCGTGCTATTGCACTCCAGCCTGGGTGACAGAGTGAGACTCACACACACACACACACACACACACACACACACACAAATCTCATTTGTTCAAAATATGACAGAGAAGCAGGGAAGAAGCTCCTGGAAGGATAAAATGGCCATCACTACAATTAACACACTAAAACTCCTGCCACGGCATTCAGAGGAAGTCTCTCGGAGCCCACTGGCTCTTCATAAGGCTACTAATCTTTAACATCTTCTCCAGCATATTAGAATTCCCAAATTTAAAAAAGCAATACTCCTTCATTCCTATTTTTTTTTTTTTTTAAAGAGGGAACCTTGCTTCCTGAAGGTAGGCACACTGGCCACAATGAGGAGTGGTCATCAGCACGCGAGGCTGCGTAAAGACAACGAGGGACTGGAAACAGTATTGTAACGCCCAACAATTCGGGAGCAATCATACAGAAGCAAAGTGTGTACAACAGTGGATTATTATAATGCTGAGACCAAGCAGTTGAGAAAAAGTCGTATTATGTTCACTTCCCCACACTTAAGAAGACAAGCAAAGTATTTGATAAAGATCAAAGATCTGTACCCCCAGCCCTGTGATTATGAGACGAAACAAACAAAAAAACCCCAAAAAACAGTGGTTTTTATAGGATTAGTTCTCTGTGACTTGGAAACCTCAACTTGACCAGCATAGGCAGTTCCTCAGTGTTCCAGAGGGCTGAGCTTTCTCAGGGTCCAACTCCCCTACTTCTCGGAGACTGTGGATGATCCAGTATATGGATTATTATCACACTTTTTAACAATATTTTTGTGTACAGTGCCATATATAAGGCCTTCCCCTACATATTCCCTCAATTTCACTTTGAATGAACCCCATGCACATCCTATGGTGTGAGGGCCAGTGCCGTGTCTCGGGCCTGCTCTGAATGCCTGCACTGCTGGGTCTCCATCTTGCTGCTGACTACTTGGCTCTGTCTCTGGCATTTAGGAGCCTAGGGCACACTTGACCTCAGCCGTCCCAGCCTTGTGTTGAGGGTACTGGGCACATCTGTGGACAGATGTATTCAGAGTGAATCATTAAGGGTTTTGGTCTGCAATTTGTGCTGCATCATTCTTCCCTGTAATTCATCATTCATTCCACAATATTTAAGAGGGTAGCAGTTACCATCTCTGTGTTTGGGGCCTGAAACAACGTTATCTTTTAAGAGAATGTGCTTAGGTAAAGTTGCTCCTCCCCTAGTTAAGTCTTTGGGGCCCTGTCCTCAGGAAGTCTAGTAATTAGAGTAAACTAGCCGGGTATGGTGGCTCACACCTGTAATCACAGAACTTATAGGAGGTTGAGGCAGGAGGATCACTTGGGCCTAGAAGTTTGAGACGAGCCTGAGCAACATAGTGAGACCTTGTCTCTACAAAAAATAAAACACATTATCCAGGTGTGGTGGTGTGCACCTGCAGTCCTAGCTACTTGGGAGGCTGAGGCAGGAGGATCACTTGAGCCAGGTTGAGGCTGGAGTGAGCTGTGATTGTGCCACCGCACTCTAGCCTGGGTGACAGTGTAAGATTCTGTCTCAAAAAAATAATAATGATATTAATAAATAGCTGAGTGAGGTGGCTCACACCGGTAATCCCAGCACTTTGGGAGGCTGAGGTGGGTGGATCATGAGGTCAGGAGATTGAGGCCGTCCTGACTAACACGGTGAAACCCTGTCTCTACTAAAAATACAAGAAATTAGCCGGGCGTGGTGGCAGGTGCCTGTAGTCCCAGCTACTCGGGAGGCTGAGGCAGGAGAAGGGCATGAACCCGGGAGGCAGAGCTTGCAGTGAGCAGAGATCGCGCCCCTGCACTCCAGCCTAGGCGACAGTGCGAGACTCCGTCTCAAAAAAAAAAAAAAAAAAAAAAAGTGTAAACTCTACCCAGAACTGATAGACGTTGGGTCAAATCATAGTTCTATCCCAACATAAATGAGCCATAAATCAAGTGATGGGCTAAATTCTGGCACTTACTGCTTCTGGTACACTCAGTTGCAAACTGTGACAGTCGACAAGTAGGTGTGTGTTCTGGATGCTGTCTCAGGAGCTAGGAGAGATCCTGAGATGCAGCATGGTCTTGGTTAATAAAACATGGGTTTTATTAAATCAGAGGGATCTGAGCTGGAGCCCAGCTCTACCACTTGCTAGAAGGTGACCACAGAGCCCCGAGATGATTCTGGGGGAGCACTCTGGGAAGGTGCTGTGTGAGGGGCAATGCTTTCTAGAGTCCCTGTGTGGCAGCCATGGAAACGTGCCTTTCAGTCACCCTGCAAGAGAACCTGCTATGGGAGCAGAGCTGGTGCACAGAGGCCACGCTGTTCCCAGGCTGCTCCCAGTCACTGACTGAACATGGCAGGGGGACCAGTGCCAACTCATTCCTGCCCAACACAGGACCCTTCTGTGGGGGAAACCTTGGTTTGGGGACGTTCTATCAGCCTGGCCCAAATGTTCTCCGCACTGTGATGTGGTCTGAGACGCTTCTAGTCCATCCTTCCTGGCCTTTCTCCTTTCGCAGACTTTTGACCTGTGCCAGAATCTGGCACAGAGCAGGTGCCTAATAAATGCTCACTAAATAATCTCAGAGCTGAAAAGAACTATAGATACGAATCCACTTTTACGTCCAATGAAGCTGCCCTGACAAGTCCACACTGAGCTTTGGGGGATGGGAAACTTAACTTACTACTCTCCAAAGCAACCTGTTGGTTGTAAATGGTTTTAATTTAGACAATCCCTCCTTGTTCTGAGTGACATGCAACTCGCTGCTCTCCAGAGTAACACAGGGTGCTCTGCAGAGCCTGAGACAACCCACCAGAGAGCTGAAGGAAGAGCGCTTCCCTCCATCAGCTACACGACAAACTACCAGTCCCCTCGCCATCCCAGTAACTAATCAGTCCGGGTCCTAAAACTGGGCCAATATTTCAGGCTTAGTCTGACCAGCAGATGCTAGTGGGTCAAAAAACATCAATGAAAGAGAGATAGGTAGAACAGTACCTGCCCTCAGCGAGCTCCCAGCTAGTTAGGCAGTCAGACGAGTAATTATAAACCTTACGCAGCCTGGAGGGATGCGATGGAGCGGGGGACAGGGGAGGCCTTCTTCTTTTAAATTTTTATTTATTTATTTATTTTTTGATACAGAGTCTCACTCCATTGCCCAGGCTGGAGTCCAGTGGTGTGATTCTGGTGCACTGCAACCTCCGCCTCCCAGGTTCAAGCGATTCTTGTGCTTCAGCCTGCCATGAAGCTGGGACTGCAGGCATGTACCACCACGCCTGGCTAATTCTTTTAATTTTAGTAGAGACAGGGTTTTACCATGTTGCCCAGGCTGGTCTTGAACTCCTGGCCTCAAGCAATCTGCCTGCCTCAGACTCCCAAAGTGTTGGGATTATAGGCGTGAGCCACTGCGCCAGGCCTGGGGAGGATTTCTGAAGAAAACGCTGTGTGGGTTTTAAGATGAAGACTTTCAACCCCTAGATGAATTCAGGAAGGGGATGTGGGGTTTTAGGCAGAGGAGACAGGCAGCTGAGCAGAGGCAGGGAGGCAAGAACCGCATGGCATACAGAGAACCGCGAGCACTAGGTGGGGGTGAAGCGTACCGGGGTATCACACACCTTTTAGGGGAGTTACAGAGATGGCATAAATAAAGCACTGTGCTTGCCACTAGATTCCTGAACACCAATAACCATTTTTCCCATTTTTCTTATTATAATTATAGCTACAGGTTCTTTTTATTTGCTGTTGTTAGCACTTTAGGTTAAAATTAAACTGGTGGTTA